TCGCTCGCTAAGCAGTCACGTCATCACGATATACAGAAATTTGTGTCAACTGTGACGGCAGTGTGTATTACCATGGCGCAACTTGATGTTGGTGGCATTTATCTGGATATAAGATTGTCTGTAAATTTTACATCAAATATATCTGTTGAATATTATAATTATATATAAATATCGTGTGTTGACGGTTGGTTCTAGTTGAACAAATGTTAATTAAGAGGATGTGACATTAAAAAAATTTTGCGGACACTTAGAACTATTTAACAATCATTTAGAACTATTTAATTTTTAATTAATTTTGTAGAAATTAACGTTCTAAATAAATAAACTAAAAGGGAAAGACTAAATTAATTATACATATCTACAACATTTTCAATGCAAAGATGACCCATGAGCATTATATTTTAACTCCTCTATAAAAGTAACGTTCTTGTAAAGATTTTGTAAGTAAAGGCGTGCGGCGCGGCGCGTCCTGCGGCCCAGACGTGGCGGCCGAGAAAGCGCACGTCCGCAGAAACGCCCCCGGAACAGGTTGGCGCCTCGGCCAGGCAGGCGCTCGGGCGCTCCGCAAGGCGCGGGACGGACGCCTCCACAGCGTCAAGTACATTCTATCACTGCTTCGAGTGTAGTGAACGTATGTTGATGATATTTCGTGTTACAATGTTAACAATGTAAAAGTTGCAACCTAATTACCTCGCTTTCTAACGGTAGGCATTTCGGTAGATGAAACGGAAGTGATTACTTTATCTTAGTCCAAACAGTCGCAGATCCAAATCTCTCTATCGGCGTGTGTATTTTCCCATCGGCCTTCTATCGTCAATGACAGAGGTTCTCTGTTTTTGATCACGTCACGGTTCCCACTACGTGCAAATTATATGTTACTCTTCCTTCATTTCAAAAAATTTTTTTGACTTCGTTTGTGACTCTTAGCTACAGTTTATGTTAGCAAATTTTTATGTTTGACTTGAATGAGCACAGTAAACAATATTGCGAGTGTTTCTCTCAAAATACGCAAAGCATCACATCTAACACTGAAAGAATATTTAAAATCACTATATTTAAAATAACAATTCACATTAGATTAAATTCAAACATATTTGTAATTTATATAAAAATAAACAAAAAAGGGAAAGACTAACAGAATTATGTATATCTATAACATTTTCAATACAAAGATGACAAATTCTTATCCATTTAAATCATATTTTAACGCCTCTGTAAGACATTGACTCTAAGCAATAAACAATAAAAATGTAAAACAAAAATGAAGTGTGCCTAGAAGGGTAATTGCATTGTGAGTCTTCCATTTCACAGTGACTTTAATATTACTGATAGTCAATCCCAGTCGGGTGTGATATTTCTGAATGAATTTGAGAATAAACAATAAAATTTTCAGTTCAGACCTAGAAAAGACATCTGTTCAAGATTATTCAATTAATTCAGAAACTGTTTCGCAGAAAAATTTCATATCCAATCTACCTTTGAAATACTTTTATTATGTTTCAATCTCTCAGGGTTCTTGAAATTACTTACAAGCGAATACACCGTCACTTTAAACAAAAGGAAACAGACATCCCAAACGGAGAGCAAATCTGCCGGCATTCCTCGAGGCGTACCCCAGGGCTCACTTCATTCCTGCGCACACACAGCCGCCGAAAGTGGAGGTGGCGCTGTTTCCGGTGGCCGGTGGCGGCGAGAGCAGGCGAATTCGCGAGTAGGCTTCATGGGAGCGGGGAAAAAAAGAGGGGCGGTGGTTGGCCCAAAATGGCCGGCCCACGTGCGAAATAAAGATGAACATACTTTCTCTCGACGGCGGCGATGAAATTTTCCCCGGGAGGACACGCAGCCGCTGCTTTGACACTCGGCCTTCCGGAACGCGCGCGTGAGAAAGGCTGGAGCTGCGTTGTTTCAGATTTAATTGTAATAGTTGCTGGAGACAATGCGGAGGCATCCAAGGCATAAAAGATTCCGAAAGAATGGAACATAAAATAAGAATCTTTGGGAGAAACGAAAACGTAGGAAACGTAGTAGATGGAATATGAAAGTGTAGGAATGAAATGGGAGAGGGAGAGACAGAGAGAGAGAGAGAGAGGATTATAATGTTTTAATTCTGTTGTTGTGAAAATCTCCTTTGCTCTGTCACGTCACAATATTAAACGTGAGAGTACAATTTACAAATACATTTTCTTCTACCACTGTATCTCTGAAACCTATACTCGTACGAGTGTTATCGTAAGTTGTAACGGGCATTCTAAAGATTTCTATATTATATGAAAGAGGATACGAAGATACGAAAACACATCTACTGAAATACTGTGTTAGATGCATAGTAAAAAGGTGAACAAATTTTAACTATTTTAAACTTCATTCAAACTATCTGTAATATTGAAAAATATATGATTGTCAACTGGTTCGCTTTTGTTTTTAGTTTAATTAAATCGTCAATTAATAAATAGCGTCACTGATAGATATACCATTACAATTTAAACAAAGAAAAGAAAGAAACGCTGTAATTCCTAGGATGTATGTATAAAATAGGTGTTTCACTGTTTTCGAATGGTTCGAATAAATTTTTTGAAGTATTCTGTAAATCGAGATCCAACTTACAAACCGCCACAGTGACGACATTTTATATGCAACATGAATGTCGGTACTTCCGATGAGGAGTGAGAATAAAACGGGATAATTAGGAGACAATAATAAGAAAGATTGCAGGGGAGTAGATACTACTTACTGACAATAAGAACAGCAGCAAAATCACAGCGGTCTAGCAAGTGCATCGGCTACGGGATGCACAGAATAGCCTGCGTGCTTCCGAACAATGCAGATGTGGACAACAAATGCTGCTTGCGAGATGTTCCAATTACGTATACAAAGAGCAAGCAGTCTCACAATAGAAGAAATGATACGTAATAGATGGTTTTACAGGATCCTTTCTTACAATGTTGCGTAAAGCTTGGAACAAAAGGAGATCAGAATTTTGCATACTTTTTCAAAACCGCAGCAAATTATCGAAATAAAATTACATAAATTAACAATGTAAATCGTGAACGTCTTTGAGGAAACATTTATTTAACATGTCTTCCTAGACAACATTGTCGTTATTGTGAATTCGTCTTTATAAAATATAAAAAGTAAAAACAACTCACTCTAACGCGACGTAATTAATTCTTGAAAGTTTATTTACAGCTCCTGAACTATCTGACACTTGACAAATGTAAAATGGAACAGAGTATACTTGCCTCTTTTGGCAGGAAAGCATAGTGTCAATAAAGAATTAGTAAATTTTACTCGATAGCCATTCTATACATCAGAGTTGATGGGGAAAATAGAATAATTTATGTGTTGTAGTCGAAGCGTTTTTATGATGACAAATTGAATACGCAATTAGTCTCGCAACAGACGAGAAAAATCTCGACCGCCAGTCACCAACGACTATTTAGTCGTAGTGTAAAGACGACATTGCAATCACAAACAGGCATTTTATTATTAACTCGAAAATTGACTAAGTGGATCCCGTAAGCACAGAGCTTACAATAGCGCTGACAGCCCGTGCTCCATCATGGAAGGTAACGACCTCCCGCGGGGCGCCGCGCGCAGTGGGCGGAAAGAGATGCAACCGCGCGCGCGTAGGGGCCCCTTCCTCAAAATGTCCGCTCCTGTAAATTTAACTCAAATTCTGTATGTAAATACAGCACTAAATTTTGAATTTTATTGGTAATATTAATATCTATTTCTTTACTGTAATGTCATACGAATACCAGTGAAATAAATATTCAATTTTTCAAATCCGTTTGATATTAATTTAGTTTGTCTTCAGCTTTTAAGGATTACATTAGATCTTAATGGAAATATAGTTATTATGGTACATTTGATAACGTACGTAGGTCAGTTAGATGGTAATGACTCTTAATTTTTTTGCTTAAGTTAGATAAATAAAGAAATGTATTTGTAAAGTAATTAGTTAAGTAAAAAAAAATTGAAAACCTTCTTCTACATTACACTGCAATAATAACTCTCTACATCTACATGTGTCAGCACAGAAGTCGCTTAAAAATGACCGACATAGATGTTCGTGTAAACAGCGTTGTTTGCTGGAATTCTAGAATGCAGAATGTCTATTCCTCCCGTTTGCCTCTCTCTATCGAAATGAAACAAACGATTAGCGCTCGGGCTCGGTTTGTCACTTCTTCATGTGTGAATTTCTTCACCCCTGCTTTCTGCTGGTACCGCAGGCGGGAGGGGGCGTGTCCCCTTCCCGCTCGCCCGCGGATTCGTCACCCGTCCGCCGCCCCTGCCCGGTGCAATGGGGTTGCTCCTCGCGTCTACTTCAGCAACTCAGGTCGTGGGAAACTGTACACGGTAATAATGAATGAGATTTTTGTAATCGACGTGTTTTCTTGTTGCAGGCTCCTCCGCAGTACAAGTTCGACTACGGCGTGAAGGACCCGCACACAGGCGACTTCAAGAGCGCGTGGGAGGCGCGCGAGGGAGACGTGGTGAAGGGCTCGTACAGCGTCGTGGACCCCGACGGCACCGTGCGCACCGTCGACTACACGGCCGACGGCCACAACGGCTTCAACGCCGTCGTCAAGAAGACGGGCCCCGCCCTGCACGCGGAACTCGTCCGGGCGGCGCCGCTGCCAGTGGTGAGCGCCCGCGGAGCCCCTTGCGGCTGCCCTCAGAGCCTGCTCTCGATAATTGGTCTGGACACTTGGCCATCACACATTTCTCTCTCCTTGCATTGGTTACCACCTTCTGACTTGAAGCTTGTTTCGAATCCCGAATCTCTGCACCTTCTATTAAACTTCTCTGCCGGCTAAATACAATCCGTTTCGTGTCAGAGCTGCTTTGGATATGTTGTTTCGTCTCCACGTAAGATAGGCAGTTCACAAAATATTGAATAATATGGTAGAAATATTATGAAGGGGAGGCGAGGTACAAAAGAAGAAATATGAAAAAGAAGGGTAAAAACCTGACCTGAATGAAGTGCAAAGGAAGTCATGGATGGGGAGAAAGAGAAGGAACGTATAGAAAGAATTGAAGAGGGAGAAGGGAGAAAAGGGAGAGTGGGGCTAAATAAAGCACAAGAGGTAAAAATAGGAAGTGAGAAATATATAGGTTAGAAACAGATAAATGTCTTGACTTTTTTGTCATACATCCCTCAAGCAAACATTTCTGTACTGGAAATCGCTCACAAATTTGAGGTTTCATAGACTAGGACTAGACTCCATTGACCGTACAAGTTCGGTACAAAATGTCGGAAATATGATGTATAGTAACAAGCAGAACAAAGTTAAATACCTTTCTAACTATCCGGTAGACCTGGTTTGAAATCATTTGCAAGGCGCTGTAGAAACAAATAATCACAGAAGAAGCGATTTCCAGTAAGACTGTTCTCCGGGAGAGAGTAAATGAGATTGGAAAAGCCATTGCTATAAATAATAAGAAAATTCATTTGACAGACCGTTGTAAACTACATCACAGGTGTAAAAACTGATATAGCAGGGGCCATTAAAGTAACTGTGTGCTGCCGCCCGTCCGCAGGTGTCGCACGTGCCGACGCTGCTGGCGAAGCCCGTGCTGCGCGCCCGCAAGCCGGTGTTGGTGCCCGTGGGCAGGCCCGTGCTTTACCCAGCGCCGGCACCGGCGCCGGCGGCCGTCAGCCTCAAGGGCTTCCCGCTGCCCAGCTACGACCCGATCAACGCGTACGCGGCGCCGCCGCCCGCGCCCGCGCCCGCGCCCGCGCCTCCTCAGCCGCCCGTGGACTACGAGCAGCTGTACCAGGGGCGCCTCGTCAACGCAGCCGCCGCGGCCTTCGGCAACCCCCTCCTCGGCGCCACGCAGGTACCGCCACCCCCCCCCTCTGTCCCACTCGCATCAGGCAGCGCCTAGACTTCCACTACAGTTACGAGACTAATGACCTTAGTAGTTGACGCCCCCGGAATCACCAATCAATTAATCCACTATTGGTGTAGCCATTGCTGTTCCTTTGCTTTACTTAATTCAGTACTCGCTCTCACGACATTTCATTTCCTTTTTTTCATTGGTTTGTTATTCGTTCTTTATTATTTTTCTCGTTTAATTTAACTCTTCAATATCGTTTCATTCATCTCAATTGTTTTCATGCTTCTTCCTTTCAATTATAATTTTCTCTTTCAATATTTACAATTCGTATCCTACTCCACAATTATATTTAAACTCTTATCAATAATTGTACCAATATACTACGGTAACTGTTCGGACAATTGAATATTTTCATTCGTGGAAAAACACTCCTTACTTTTTTAAGTTTTAATACGATAATAGAAACAAAAACAACAACTGGTACTCAACTAAATACGATACGTATTCTTCCCGTACGTATTCTAATCCCCGTACATCGTATTTTACCTCGGAGACCACGTTAACATATGGGTATTTTGTACCTCTCAATTACTAAAAGAAATTCCCTGGGCTTCAAACTGGTATGTAGCAATGCTCGTGAGGGCACTAATTTTTATACATTTTTTTGTACTACTTCTCATTCGGTTACTAATCATGTGCTCACAGAAATGTTATTTACGCATCTGTAAACGAATTTTCTTCTTAAATTATACATACATTTTCTAATTTTATCTTACATTTAAGACAATGTAACAACATTTCTTACATTTATTACTCCAATGTAAATAAGCTTGTCAGGGTTTTAATTACTGCCACATGTGAGAAAGTAAATTACTTCCAATTTGATATGCGGTAAAAAATGTGTACCTTAGTTCTTAGATTGAGTGAGTTTAGAAGTCTAGACCACCGAATTATTGTGTTTCTCGGCATTTCTCTACAATCATTGCAAAATATACCTCATCACATCACTCGAGAATTTTTATCATAATACATATACTTCAATAGTAATATTACATATTACTAGCTTTTAATGACATATAACAGCCGTCCTGTTTCATATCCTTAATACTACATTTATCATGTACTTCATTATATATTTGCATTTTAAAATATTTATTACTGAATATGTCATCATATTTGTAACCCCCAAAATTTATATTCTCATAAATTCTAGGCTCTTTATTTGCCCATATTTAGCAGCAGAGAACATGTCTTATGCGACTTGCAGAATATAGAGGTAGAAAAATGATTATCCCCGCTGTGTATTACGTTAAAAGCCTTCCCTCGTGAACTGGAGAATTTAATTTACGTAATCATATTTTCAGAAAGGTTTTTAGTTAATCTCTCTTTTCAATGCATTACACGAATGTTACACGTAAACTTTTTAAACTAATCTGTTGAGTTGTTAGAGAGTAAATTTTGTTATATGTTAGAGAGTTAGAGAGTGTTAGAGAGTAAATTTTGCTAAACGAAACCTTCAACATTTACTTAAACCTTTGCCTACTGGCTTGCTTTAACCATATGCTTTCGACTACGTCTTTGAATGCACAGCCACTTGAAAATACTCGTCAGATCGATGTTCACTGGTTTCAAATGAGTCAGCGTCCGACAGAGGAAAGGCAAGTGAGAGGCGAATGAGTTAGCCTGTGGAGTTTATTGTCCTCTAGAGAGTGTGGGCGGCCGTGTTGTACGAAACATCTCTCCTGAGAATCAAATTGTGTTTTCTCCCTCACCACAATGATGAAGTAAATCGTGAGGAAGAGACTGAGTACATATGCATTTTGTTTTTAGCAATGTCAATGCATAAAATATACGACCTGTGACAACCAATATATAAAGTTATTGAAGGTTATAATTACGTTTCATACCAATAAACAATGAAATTATTCTTTTAATATATATTCTTTTAAATCATTTCTTTACATGACGTCTTCACTGAAGGTGAAGATAATTTAACAATGCATTGTAATATATTTCATATTCTTTCCTTATTGTTATAATACCTTTATATTTTATAATTCATTCTTGGTTTTGAGCCTTCATGTTCACACTTTTCTCGCGTCTTTTATTCCCGCATGTTCCGAGTTCACATGACTTTCTATTTCACCATAACTCTATACTTCTCCTTGAAGGTGATTTGCACCGAGACGAGATTGTTCGTTTACTTGCTGCTTGCTTAGCACTTGCTCTAAACAACGGTTGGGATTATGCCAGGAATGTTTACTATCCTACTGAGTTTCTGTGAGTGGTTTTTTATCATGAAATGAAATTCATGTCTATTTTTTTTATTTTGAAATGTACTTTTGAACTTTTTGTTATAATTATCGTACGTACAATATGCTCATTTTTATGTGCCCATGGAGGACGGGCTGGGCAGCGAGAATGTGGTAGAAGAGAAAAGAATAAATATATTTTTTCTAAGATACATAAAAGCCTTTAACTTGGGTGCATTCATAAGATTGACGTTAACTATCAATTAATATTAGAAGTAAAATGTACAGTGCAAACTACAGGGATCCCACTGGTCACTCTTGCACACTTCTTTAACTTATCCCTTTGCTGAATATCTAAAGGGATTCCTCACTTAATAATCAACACCATACTCCTGACCAAATGCAATACATAATAAATGATGTGGCATTTTAAAGAACCCTTTCCAGATAGAATTTCCACACCTCTTTGCTCCCTAAACGTCGTTGGCAATTCTGTCCACAATAGTCCTCTGTGTATTGACTCGGTGCCTGCGCTGTTGCAGCAAGCGAACAACCCGGGCCCGGTGCTGTTCCCGGTGAATCCGGAGGACCAGACGCCGGCACCGCCGCGCAACGTGCCCCCGCACTTCCAACTCTACCAGCAGGGGTCGGCGGCGGTGCGGGCGGGCAGCACGGTGGCGGCCGTCAACGCCGCCTACAACAACATCTACGGCCCGCCCCCACAGCCACAGCCGCAGCCGCAGCCACAGCAGCCTGGCCTCCCGACCCCGCAGCAGCTGCAGCAACTGCAACAGCTGCAGTTTCAGCAGCCCGTCCAGAGCCTGCAGGGGCAGGGGCTGCCCGCCGTCCACAGCCTACAGAGCATCCAGGCTCTCCAAGGGGTACAAGGCATCGGGTACTGAGTGCACGACCGCTGTAGTTACCGAAATGGACTCGTGAACCAATTCATATGGAGCATCAAGAGACCAAGTTCCTTGGTGGGTCGGATGACGAAGCCATTCAATTGATCGTTGTGCGGCAGCCCACCTCGCGTTGACAACCAAAATATCACTTTCCTGAAGGACGGTTAAAACAAGTATGTGTTTGGCATACATTGAGGCAATAGTCTCATGAAAAGTACTTCTTGCAGCGTTCATACTGATGCGTAGTGGACTGTCTGAACGCTGTAGTAGGTTATTTTGTACAGCGCCAATCATACATTTATTTTAATCGGGATACCACCATCTTAACGAGTGTTGGGACACTTTCTACCCCTGGAGCGAGACGAACTGCATGATATTTATAGCCTTCTCATCTTTCGCTTTTCTCCGGGAGAAATATTATTCCACCGCAGTTTATTTGACAAGAAAAAGGTGTTTTTGGATGTCAAACGCAGGGTTGGGTCAACCAACCACACGGTGTCTTGTACGTAATGATCCCGTTATGGGGTACAACAAAAGAATGTTCGTGTTCGATTTCCGGATACATCGACGCCAATAATATTATATTGTTATTTGTACCTTCACTTCTATTGTTATTATAAATTCCTTTGAGACCATGTAGTCATTATTGGTTTATCAGTATTCTCTCATCGTAAGAATTCAATTTATAAGCATGTATTCGAACACTAGAAAACGTGCTATACATCTACACCAACATCACATCCGTAGGTGAAATTCCTTAAGTAATTACAGCAATTTCATCATATTATGATATAGCGGTTCATTAGTAAACAGTAATCCTATTTATAATTTTCAGAACCGTCCAATTTTCTTACACACATATCCAAACCACGTTCTGTATCTTTGCTTCAGTCCTTGATTCGTGAGGCCCGAATTCAAGCCGTACGCCCAGTGTACCAATCTGTGATTGTGTGGACAAAAACCAGTGAATAACATTCATTTCAAGAAGTTTATTAAGAAGATTCAAATACTGATAATCAGAGATTTAATAAACTTCCTTGAGTGAGAATAGAGAACCCCTTAGAATTGAAACCACACAACTGCACTAGATCCTTGACCTTGGACAAAGACAATCTTTTGCAAGAACATGTAGTAAATATACCTATTGAGGAGGTGCATAATTTCAATATCATTCTGAGAAACAAACAGATGTGATACACCTACATTTGTTTCCAAACTCATCTATTTCACTGCGCTCAATGTCGCAATGCATGCTCGAAACTAGACCATCAATATGTAAATGTCCACAATTTGTATTCGGAGCGAACTTGTGCGTCAGCGCATGACTTCCCTTCCGCGAGGAGCCCACCTGGCACATGGCGCGCCTCGGGGCAGGTCGCGTCGTCGGCCCCAGCTCAACCCCATTGCCATGCGACCGCGTGTTCGCGCCTTCTCGTGCCAGGAAAAGTCAGGTCTCCACTGCCGCCCCTTCCGCCATCGACGCTCTTACGCAACGCGACACCGGCGGTCGCTTTCGTTCGCCATCGCCCCTGCGTCCATTCCCATGCAATGCTCCTGCAACAGCGGCTGTGGTGGCGTTTTCACACGACACGGCGAGGTTCCTTGGTATTCACGGAAATTGTGCACCAGTGCAATCAGTTTCGTATTCCTTTTGTGTAACTGTACTCGTAATGATGCACAAATAGTCTAAAATACTCTCTCTCTCTCTAATATACCGTCTCTTTACCTGCATAATACCCCCGTCGTTCTCACTCGTTATAGTAAGATCTCATTGGATTCAAAGCACACGAAACACCCAATTATGTGGAAGTGCACCGGCTCGTTCCATTTCCGTTTTATGCATCTGCACTCGCAAATCCCACTTATAATTACGTGGCTAGTAATTACTCGTCCTACAGTATAACTTACTTACGACCTAAGAGTACTAAATTGTATTAGAAGCCTACATAACGGAAAAATATTCCCATTGTTGTTTTTTGAGGAAATAAACCGACTTTTGAAGAAACCAAGTCACATGTTAAAAATCGTTCAATTTTTTAGCAGGTGTCCGTTTAATGAAAATTGAAAGAATGTATATTTTATTTGGATCTATCTATCAAACTTCCGTCGAAACATTTTATTCAAGAACCTTTAAGTAACCCAAGTGTTTTATAGATAGCCCTATTATTCTACTTTTTGTAAGCTAGTAGGAAAACAATTACATGAAAATCAATTCATTTCTGAATTGTCACATACATTTTCTTCTCGCTGTTCTAATGAGCACGTTTCCATAGCGTTTCGAGGAAAATGTATATATTGGACCAAAAAACAAGATCTCGATTTTTGAGGAGTGAAATGAGACACGCTATTATGTTGCCCGAGCCCCTTTAATTCATTCCTTTTGTAAAACCCGCTCTTGGTTAGAAGTATGTGATTTCAGAATCGGAAAAAAAATCCCCTCCATGCAGCCCCGGCGCTGTGGGAGCGCTCCAGGACACGCAACGCCACGCGCCGCGCCGCGCCGCGCCGCGCCGGTGACGCAAATGCCGCGGAATCCTTACTTCGCGCGGAAATGCGGTTTCACGAATGTGTGTAAGTCATCGGATCCATAATTAACAAGGAATCATTAAGTTACCATCGTTTCTTGAAGTGGCGTTTCCTGTGGATGAGGTTTCTTCACTCTGGACGCGACTGAGAATTTCACTAGCAACGGCTCGCTAATATGATTGGCATTATTACAAATAAAATAAATTGAAAAAGAAAATAGATTGCTACGTTTCCAATTTTTACATGATACTATGACTATACGTGACCTATTAAATTAAAAACTAATGGTTTGAACATGAATAAGTGATGTTATTAACCACAAAAAATGTATTTAACAAAGTTTATAAAATTGGAACAACCTAAAATACTTTCGAAAATAATTCCCCTTCTTTTTCGCCATTCGTTACTGCACTACTGAAGAAGTAAAGTTGGACTTAATATATATTCTGCATTAACTCTTATCACAATAACAGTTATTAATAACAGGCCCATGATCGTCAACCTAACATGACCGACCGCTAAGAGAGAAATGCGTTGTGGCGACTGCTAAGAATTAAACAAGGCAAAACGAATAACGCTGGTAGCACCGTAAAGCTTGTGCAGGTACCTTACGGTGCTTGCGCGACTACTTCCCCAAGGATGTTTGGACAGGGAAACAGTTGGTACGAACGAGAGAATGTGAACTGCCAAGAAGGAATAGAAATTGATATGATGAGTAACAAATACGTATCGCATGTTCCTAAAATAACAGTCATTCGCAGGTGCGGATCGACGGGCAGGGAAATAAGAGAAATCCCCCCCCCTAAAATTTGTCCGTAACTTTTAATTTTAACTTGTCGCGAAACTTTCAAGCAAATATATTTTAGGATGATCAATAAAACGAATCATATCGCAGTTAGCGACATTTCACACAATCTGTAATGACACATTCGACCAAAATATTTTTGATTACCCCTCCCAAAATCTGTCTCTACATCCGCCCCTCATGATTCGTGATTCGGGTTCAGATTGTAAATATTCTTCCGATTATGCAACCTGTGCATAGTAAAGTGACCAAAATTAATGACAAGGAGAAACTGTTTATTTTCTTACCTACAGCTAAATGACTGTTGAATATCAAATATTATAATGCGAGTTATTTACGATAACTCATTTTATTTTATCGGGCTTAAAGAAATATTAGTGGGTCTCACCTCGGCAGTAATGAGACAGAAAGAAGTTAACAAACATATTGGATGGATTTAATTTAAAGGAGAATCTTCTGATTGTAATGCATACATTAAATATAAAAATATTGTGACACAAGTGTAATAACAACGAATTAGTTATTAATCAATCTGTAATTTGAATACTTACTAATAACGATTGATTAGCTGCAGTGAAATTGTTATGTTACCAAATAGTTGTCGCGAAAGCTAGTAGTTCGGGTTTGGCCCAATAGATTGCAATACGTTCTATGAGTTTCAATCGATAATAGACAATAACATGATAAATGAAATAACTGTTATTTCGCGTAACAGTTACGACACGTTAACTGGTAAGATATGACAGTTCAGCTGTTAAGGGCACATCCCTATTAAGAAGAAAAAAAAATTCCGAAACTAGTCTTGGTTTCTTTTCCGATGTTGTTAATTTTTATTTATGTAATAACATACATTTTCATTTTGAAAGAAATTCATTCACAATAGTGTTTGCTATTCATTTGAATTTCCTTCAAAACGAACGTCCACAATATCTCCTCGAAGCTACGTAATTATTACTTTATAGTTTATTAGAGTCTTTGCCGAGAAGCACACGAAATTCTGGACGACTGTGTTTTACAACAAATATTCGAAACAAGAATGAAATATAACAACACGAGATTTCTTTATGGCGACCTATACAAGGAAGTAGCTTTATTTCTATCAACTCAACAATGTCGTAAAGTAAAGCATTAATCTTTAATTCGAAATCGGTGCACCTTGAGGTCAAGTTCTCAACTTACGAAATGTGCCCTGATTAGTTTGAAAGAGGTGGTTGGTCATTTCATACATCTTGCTACCTCCTCACCGAGAGTGTCACCACTAGTGATGGAGTGTCCATCGCAGGTGCTGACAGAAGCCATTTCGCAACCGAATTTCTCTGGAGACTCTAACGTGACACAGCGTTCAGGCACTAACCGGTTTCACTGTTGACCGTGTGTTTGGAGTCGACGATGCAGGCCACGGTCAAACTACATTCATTCACTGTAGACTGACAATTTTTCATTATCTATAATTGAGATATCCCGTAATGATAGTATTTTCTTAGAAGTACCCATCACAACAGAGAGTTTTCGTTACAGACCGCGTGTTAGTGTTGACCTGGATTCTCGGGAGCGGAGAAGGTACTGGAAACAACTCACCATAAGTGAAAAGTGAAGGGAATGTGGTCCGAGAGTAATGCTCCCCGAGCAGGTTCAAGGGAACGGTGTGTATCCCCATCGAATGAGTGGA